TGGATTGAATCCGATTCGTACCGTGACCCAATGTCTTCCTTAATCCTCCTCGATTCTGGATTGTAAGCGAACGATCCATAAATCGAATGAACGATTTACGTTCACTCGATTCGATGATATTAATAGAATGGAAGAAATTCCACTCTTCCGTTTAATGCGGTATGAATTTATAGCCTGGCTAAAAGAGAATGGAGGGAGGAAATCCACTTTGCTGGGGAGTACTCGTAAACAGCATCGATTCGGTTGGCAAACAATCGAGAATCCAATATCCAAAGTGCAAGCTAAGGGATTCGAGGAGGAAACAGGCGATTCGATCGATCCACTCTCACGGCCGAGTGTGAGAACTTGGAAGGGTGAAAAGTAGGGAAGAAGCTCCCGTTTGCGTTTAAAATTTTAAAAGTTGGCCGGCCAATTGATCAAAGTTTTCTGCGAAGAATTGAAATTGATCGAGCGATCGGTGTCGTTGACTTCAAGCCGCGTTTACATCGAACAACTTTTCACACATTTCGGAATCGATCGATCATGAATTGTCGAAACTTGTGCTGAGATTTCAACATTGCGCTTACGCCAATGACTTTAAGCTCCGTTTACATCAATCAATTCTTGCTCCATTAACCGAATCGATTTCACGTAATCTAAATTTCAAGTCGATTAATAGACTTAAAAAAAAAAAAAGAATGATATACAAATTTATCAATAATTACTTTAATATGGATATTTTATAAAATTTAATCTAATGTAATAACTCGGCTTGTTGAAACTATGTTTTTTTTTTTTTTTTTTACTATATCGGCTGGAACAAAAAGCGGAAAAAGTTCGTATATATACTTTTACCATTATCAGAAGAAGAATTAACAATCGAATGAATGAAACGATCGAACAATGAAAAAACGTTTCACATGATTCCCCACGCTACTTGGTTTTTCCCAGTACCACCTTTTCAAGTAACGCGATGCACCCGTTCCACGAACAATGAATCATTCCCGTGGCCTTACGACCACGCTTTTAATCAAACTTTCCAGCGGATTCGATCGTTATCGCGCCAGGAAACACGAGTAGGAATGTTCGGATAGAAGAAGAAATGCGGCGAGAACGGATACAAATTTCCCCTATTGAAACAATTATCGTGCATGAAAAAAGAAAAGAAAGGAAGAAAAAAAATTGCTCTTCGAATCTATAAACGTTGACAATATTTTCAGGGTTGCGTGTTCGAGTGACGAGTTGTAGAACGAGGTGGACGAAAAATGTCAAAAAGGAATGAAAGAAAGAAGCATTATAACGGTTGTTGTATTAAAATATGTATTATTAATATATCGACTGATCGATTACTCTAAGTAGTTGTCTGTCTTGTCTTTGTGAAAGCATATATAGTATAGAATTATTTCATAGACGAAGAAAAAATATGTACACACGTGAAGTTACAAAGTTCTACAACCGACCGTTCTCTACAACCGAGCCAAAGTATTATTTGAAAAGAGAAACGATGGTTCCCTTAACGAAGGGTCGGTTAAGTAGAGAACAGGGAAAAGATGAAGGGAACTTGAAGCGAGGTGGCACAGTATGAAAGCAGTTTACTTCGCTCGAGACGAGAGCAACTCAAAGTTCTTCACCGTTGAAACAATACTTTAACCACTTTGTGTACTTACGCTCTTCGAGCAGGTTGCTCCTCGTCTCGCTCGACCAATTTACGAATCGGGAATGAAAGCAACTTGGAAGAACACGTGTATGCGACGTGTCCTCGTAAATTAGTATAAACTGTTTTGTGTGAAAAGAAAAACAAAAAAAAAAAAAAGAAAAGAAAAACAAGGGTGGAAAACAAGGAAAGCTGGGTTTCGGTTGAACTTATCGTTAAAAAACGAACATAAAATGGCACAGCTTTCCTCGTCACCCAAGGGGTACTGTGCCGGAACGCGTTCCCGTTTTTTTACATGGCGGGGATCCCCAGGAGGCCTACACCATGCCACACGATATTCCGTGTGGAACAAATCAAAGAAACAGGAAAAGAAAAAAAAAAATAAAGATATGTATATCGTGGTATTTGAAAAATAATAAAAAGATCGAGAAGAGAAGTGTATAATCCTTAAGCCATCAGTCTCGTGGATGTATATCAAATCTCGTAAGAAGTTCATCTTTCTGATTTCGAAGTTCTTAAATAATTAATTGTAGTCGTGCGGACGATTTCCGGGGCGTGGGGCGTTTAAACGTTATCGCTGATGACCCACGAATACCGATCGGTGGCAAACTCCATTTACGAGGCGAAAGTGTTTCGAACCGCTAATGACCCGTCGTCGCGTATTTTTCCTGCTCGCGTTCGATTACGTGCCCACGTGCAACTGCACTTTCTACGGCGTACGACGTCCTAATCGGGGAATGGACCGATCGAACGAGTCGTTTAATCGTTCCACCGATTTACTTTTGTCCCTCGAATCGATTATCGGTATTCGAAGAGGCCACGCGATGACGAAACGCTCTTCGAGGCGTCGGGAATACCAACGTTCATCTCCCTTTCGATCGAAACGAAGAATGGATTTTTTTTAAACGCATGAATGAGAAAACATTGAATGAATGAATGAAAGAGAAAAAAAGAAAAAGAGAGAGAGAGAGAGAGAGAGAGAATAATAAAAGAAAAAAAAAGTAACTAATTTACTACGTTAAAATACGAATAAATTAATTACT